TAGCTAGTTCACAGGCATGCCACTTTAAATGAAGGAAACAAATATATCAACTAAACGTAATAGGCTTAAAAATCCCAACCGGCGGGAGGCAGACCAGTTAGCTATATACAAGAATGACCGAGGAGCTGAACTAGGGTCTACCGAGAAACAACTCCAGCTAAGTGGTCAGAGCGGGACTTGAACCCGCGACCTAAAGATTTCAAGTCCGGCGCCCTAACCACTCGGCCACGCTGCCTCCACAGACATTGTTACTAATTGGGTAGTCAAGTTTCGACTTAACTAAAACACCCTTACAGAAAACAAGTTACAAATTAAGGGAAGTATCATGGTAAATACCGGTATTCCATTTTAAATTGAGACTAGCACTATACAGGCGCGTCTTTAAACGTTTTATGCAGCGGTATTTTTAACTCAAAACTGGACAACTTGTGACACCAGGTGTAGCACTCAGATCTGCAGCGCCAATGTTTTAAATTATAAATTCAATTAATTTATGTCTTTTAAGGATGGCACCAACCTACGCAATCAGGTATCTCTGGGGGTGTCCATACCAAGGTTGTTGAGGTACAGTATGAACCAAGATGATACTGGAACAGGTCCTTTCCCGCTGTGCAAACAACCGAACAATACATATAATCTCCGAAAGCTCGGCAATCCAGGACTCCGTTGTCGGGGTCGTCGGGAGTTTCACACTGCCTCCCTGTAAACAAAAGTGTTGCTTCAGTAAGTCACCACGCATTGTGTTTGTGTTTGTTGTTGTTGTTGTTGTTGTTGTTGTTGTTTGTTTTTCCTTCTTTTATTTTCTCATCAAAACACCCGCACTGCTGAATTGATATTAAATACATTCATTTTTCTTAGGTTATTTTTTAGAACATTTTCAATTCGATATCCAATTTTTATGAGAACGCTATTACCTTTNTTGGTGCCTCTGCATCTGAGTATTTGCAAGTTAAATGACGACGGAATAGGAAATAATTATGTATCTTGGTGTAGTTATCTTAGTGGATGCTATAAAGAAAATTGGTTCAGCAGGACCGTAGCCAGAAAAAAATGTGACTGAAGCAATGTCCATGGTTAAATTCTCCTTCTAGGTATAAAGCGGTGTTTTACCTTTCTTCCTAAAAATACATGTATCAGTGAAAAACACCAACAGCAACAAAAGTTAAAAAGAAAGAAAACGACTGAGACAAGTGCCTCGGTCTGCCTCATAATGGCTTCGTCCCTGTTGGCAGGTTGTACTATAATCCTCAACAAATTGTAGTTGGGATGCTATTGTACGTAACGTGATATTGAAGTTTTGCAAATAAAATTTTATCATGTGTAAAGCATATGTTTAGCTTGTCTTCTCCCCCATTTCAATGTGCATCCCTTGTGAACATCTCATCGTAAGGAATAATTTTGGAGGGAAGTCAGCATTGTGATTGGGTAGAAACGAGAAACTCGAGGCTATAGGTTCGTACAGAATTGTAAGTTACCCGGATTTTTTTGGGAAAAACGTCTTACAATATAGTAGTTTTGTAGGTATTTCTAAATTTCAAACTTACCTCCTTTTTCAAGTTTAAAACGCTCAAATCAAAGTTTATGAACTATGTTTAAGATTTTCATCCGATCTCGGTTTAAGTACGAGCTACAAACTTACCTCGAACGTTGATATCCGTAGTGCAGTTTGCCGTTACCCCTACTTCGTTGGTAGCAACATATGTGAGCATCGTGACACCGTATGGGAAAATGACCTGGCCGCGGTACTTTGCTGGATAGACTTGAATGTTCTGTACATTGGACTTCGGGTCTTCGAGTAAGCCAGTGACGTCGTATTCTGACTTGTTTTGCGCAAGCGTAACGGTAATATCGGAAGGACAAGTGATCCAGGGCGCGGGGTATTCTAGATAGAGAAGAGTCGTGTTTGTTACAATGATGCTCCTTTGATAGATAGTTAATTAAACACTTAATTAACTCACAATTCCACCCAAAGGTCAACGTCTAACAATGGTTACTATATCGTTATAGTACTTTTATTTAAGGTTACTGTGGACCTCAAGGGCTCATTTTGGCCAATGCTTTTTTTTTTCTTCTGTTTTTTTTTATTTCTGCACCAAATTCAAGAATTCTACTTTATCTGAATCTTCCAAAATAAAAAAAAAATTAAAATCTTCAAACGCGAATGAGTTATCTAAACAAACGTAAATTTTTTAAACAAGTCAATGAACCGCAAACTGTGATAAGCCAGTTAAAATGATTGTCTCAACCCTTGAGATGAGCAGTAACAATTTTTGCGGCAACTGATCTCAATTTTGGAGGCGTATTTCGCTCTTTTTTTTTATCCCTTACGTCTTGCAATTTCTTGCACAGAAATCTTCGCTTTTGTCGATTGGTTTCGTCTCTTAATTGATAGACTAAGCGATTTTGTACGGTCTTCGCGTTCCTACATTTGAACGCAAGCGCAAATCGCAAGCGAATGTTTCGTCGATGCCCTGCTCTAGCTTCTTCTGCCACATTGTCGGCGTCGTTTCAAGCTATTTGTCGACCTCTTGGATTCTCTTGAACAAGGGAGAATCAGCAACTGAATATTAATGACACCGATGTTGGCTACCGCAAACAGTGCCTGGGTTTGCTGACTTTCCTGGCTTGGCTGTGTAGTGGAACTTGTTACACCATTAAACGCAAGCGAGTTTTATCATCTGGATGAACTGAACGGTAATGAACTTGTGTTCCTACTCAGTTTTGTCTCTTCAAACAACACTGAAGACTGTTTGCTTATTCCAAAAGTTAATTATCGGACAGTGCATTCGGAAAAGTCGTTTTCTTGACCGCCTGTTTGTCTGTTGTTGGCTTCTGAGAAAGTTAATTGTGAACTTCTTCATTTGTGAGGAGTGTTGACTTTCTATCTTTGCTTTCGGAGTGAATTAGCCACTGATGTAGTTCTGCATCGGACAGTTCGTCTGGATAGTGAAGTTCGCTCTCAGAATGGCCAAATTTATACTACAGACGGATCATCCGTCTGGGATGTACTTGGGCAAAGAACGATAGTTCGTCGGATAATTCATCTGTGTATAAATACGGACAAACAGACGGATCATCCGTCTAGACGGATTATCCACGAAAGTTCGTGAGTCAAGACGAACCATCACGATAATTCGTCTGGACGGATGATGCGTTTGCTTGCCCGTATTGGCCGTTTTCACACGAGAGGCGGATAATCCGTCTAGACGGATTATCCTTCTAAAAAGAACACCGTTCCGTTTTCACACCAAGACGAATTATCCGTAATGGACGGATAACCCGTCTTAGACGGATTATCCGTCTCTAGTGTGAAAACGGCCATTTATACACAGACGGATTATCGGACGAACTATCGTTCTTTGCCTAAGTTCATCCCAGACGGATGATCCGTCTGTAGTATAAATCCGGCCAATGTTCACTTTCATCACTCATTTTGGAGAGAACAAAATTTTGCAGCAACAAAATTGTTTTTGTCATTAACTCGCACCGATTTTGCCGTACGCGTTTATAATAGGGCCGTACGTATTTCTAGTAGGGCCGTACGCGTTTATCCGGCCCTCTCACTTCGACGCGCACGGCCCTCATACGGGATCTTTTCTCTTATGGTTTTCCAAGGAAATTGCGCGTGGGGCCGTAAGGATCATATGATAAATTGCAATATTTAGAGAGGATGTCACATCAGCCCTAACTGTTTTCCATGCGGGTAACTCTATCCTGGTCAAATTGGAATTTGGAGATGCTGTTCATTCTTTCGGATGGAGGACAACCAGAGAACCCGGAGAAAAACCCTCGGAGCAAGGCGAGAATCACCAAGAAAACTAACCCACATATGGAACCGAGCGGGAATCAAACCTGCCCGGGCCACATTATTAATGCCAGGCGAGCGCTCTCACCACCCCGCCATACTGAATTACTTATATATCTAAAATACCTCTGTCACAAGTTGGTATGGCTTGGACGTCCCATTGTCCATTTGCTTGGCACTTTCTACTGGACTGGCCATTCAGTGTGTAACCACTATGGCAGCTGTAGATACAAGCCTGGTCAAAAAAGTTTCCGGATACGGAGCAGTAGACCGGAGTTAGGTCTCCGTTTGATATTGGAGGCAAAGCTGGGCAGCTGATGCCTAAAGCAACAAAAGGCAAACAATGTCAGTAGGTAAACATGTTTGGTATTAGATTAATGTGTACAACTTTATTTAACTAGAAAATGCACTTTAAACTCTTAGCAATATATCAAGCACGAACGACCGTGATTCACCATATTTCCAAACTATAAAAACAGAGTTGCAAATGCGATGCGTAGCGGAGTATTTTTGAAGAACTTTGAGGTGTTTGGAAATTTGGTCAAATACTGCCTTGAATGTTTGATATAACTTCTCGATCGAAACTAAAACTAAGAAGAAAACGAAGAAAAAAAAATCGTATAAAAAATCGGTGTTAATTAAGATCAGATTTCCAAACACCGTCACGTTCATGATTTCCAATGTCGTTAAACTTGACGCATTGGTAATGAGTTTTAGAAATAGATTTCGCACCCAAAGATTTCATTTACGCCACTTACGTTGACAGCTTATTATTGCAGCATCCCAAGAGCCAGTATCCAAGCAGGTTAGTTTATTGTTTTGGGGGTCTGGAAGCTCGTAACCAGTTTGGCAGCTAAATGTGCACGTATCGTTCACCTTCCTACCGTCAACAACGAGACATGCCTGTGGGGTTAGGGTTGTTCCTTGTGATTCCACCAATGGAGGGCAAGAAATAACTGTAGAAAATAAAACATGGCAAAAATAGCTATAAATTTTGTAGTTGACGTCTTATTGTCATCTTATTGAGCAAAAAGAGTACCCTTGAAAAAATCTAAATGTATACTTTTTTTAGTTGAAGTCTTTGGGTAGTAACTTAACGTAACCGAAGTTAATTTATTCCGTGCTCGTTCAGTTTGTCAGTCAGTCAGACAGTCAGTCACTTACTCGCTCAANCTCTATTAACTAAGATGGTAACTGATATAAAACACAACACAAATGTAGTCTTGAACGTCAAAATTGTCTGAGCATACTACGACAACATAACATACGAAACAGCTCATACAGTGGGAGGTTTTGAAATTGGACGAAGTTATTTTGATCTCTACTGTAACAAAGTGCAATTAAAATACCTGCATGGATTTATTTGGCTATTAGGAGCAGGTTTATAAAAGTCAAATATTTTTCGGTGTAGGCAAGCTCCATTCGTTTCGATTCTTAGCGGACCCTGCATCTTACCTCTGCACTTGAGTTCATCGTAAAGCTCAAAACCAGTTGCACACGAACAGTAAAAGCTTCCATTGGTATTGTGACAGTTCGTCTCACATCCACCATTTGCCAAAAGACACTCATTGGTATCTGAGAAATGAAATAAACACATCGGAAAAGAGAGATTTCTACTTAAGTTCCGAAAGTCACTAGCCTTTTGCTTTACAATCAGAAGTAAAACCAGACCCAATCGCGACTCATTCATACACTCTTTCCCGCTCTTTGTGCCGGTCACATGTATTAAGTTCGAATTATATTTTCATTGGTTCACTGGATTGCCTGTGTTTGCTATTGGCTAAAGTTACAACTGAGATACCAATACTCGATTGAAAACTACTCTATACGGAATATCAGTCTATAAAGCATTGATTGGTACATTTTATTTCAAAGGTAAACACGCCAATACGATTTCTTAGCTAAATAGTAGTTACCCTATATTGTCAAATGATTATTGCATTCATCACTCGTCCTAAATTCGACGTCACCTGCCTCATATATGAGCCAAAGGGACATTACATTGTTTCATGAATTGTCACCGCAGGAAAACATCAATGCCATGTCAGTGCCGGTGTTTCTTACCTATACAGTTCTTTTTCGAGCTGTCCACTTCAAATCCTTTAGGACATGTACAGATGTATTTGCCTTCAAGGTTTTGACAGCCATCACTACAACCGCCATTGTTTTCTACACATTCATCAATGTCTAAACAATAAATAACACGTGGGTAATAATATTTCAGTAAAATACCTGTAACGTTTCGAAAGAAAGTAAAAACCGGTATAATTTTACGGTTGTGCCTACAGTAAACAGCGAAAATAACGAATCCCCGAAAATAGCATTCTCGAAGGTTACAGTTTACTTGTGATATGGTTGCGATAAACTGATCTTGGTATTAATTGCTTTAGAATCCCCTGTTCCAAAGCTCAGACTTGCTTGTACGCCATTAGTTTGTTTTTAAGGTGAGATTTACGAGTTCTTAGCCTTCATCATATTCATTCGGACGAACCCCTCACATACCGACCAAGTTCTTGAGTTACCCAAAGAAGAACCCCTTAAGGTGCGACCGTCTGAAAATAGCGAAACGAAACGATGTGGACCATTTCCTTCTTCAACATTTAAGATTTTCACATCGAGAATAGAATTCTACACCAAGAGAGCAATTTCCTAGTAATCTACCAAAACGTTTCACATTAAAAAACGACTTTCTTGTTTTTTGCTTAAATGCAACAATTAAGCCGCGAAATTTGACGCAGACGAATGTAAGAATCTTACCAACGCAGGTATGATTGTCCTGTGAAAGCTGGTACCCAATGTAGCATTCGCAGTGATAGCTTCCATAACTGTTTTTACAAACCTGATTGCAACCTCCATGGTTGTTATCGCATTCATTTATATCTAAAGGAAGTAAGGGCAAAATCAGTAATTTGACGGTCTTGCTGTACTGTCATTTT